CTTAACCTGTTAAGCCGAAATCTTTCGTTGTCATCAAACATCTGAAGTCTTATTGGCCGGCGGAGACCCCAGTAAATATTCAGCAACCCCTCTAAGATGAGCTCTCCATCCTCCTGCACAAAGAAAAGCACACAGAACAATGACAAAATGCAGCAATGTTCATGGAGGATATCCTACTTGGCTGACTGCCACGTCGGCTCATTTTGAGGTGTACGTGCTGAAACAGTCGCATACAGCTGCAAAATAAGCCCTTGAAAACTGGAGAAAAATCAGTGAGGTTGGACACCCCTTTTTTCCACAGTGCGGGGGGGAAGTCATGTCTGAGGCACCATCAGAAAGAACAAAACAACGAATGGCTCTAGGTCACGTAGATGCAGGGGGAGGCTAATCATTTGACATACATAAACCTAATTTCAGAAAATAAAATATATCACCATTCAGAATAAAATATCGCTTCTTTCCTTTTTTATGTGTACTGTTGTGGCATTTTAGGCATATCATATAGAGAAGGTGATTGCCTAACATGCCAGGACAGATTAGCTCTACAAAAAAATATCTCAGGATGGAATCCTAATTGAATGATGATCCAGTCTCAAAAGCACACATTGATGTAATAGTAACCTGCCTTTGCATGACTTTGAAATATTTGGATTATTTGTGTTTCGGTCTGTGTGGGTGAGTGACTGTATGTGTAAAAATAGGTTTATTAGTGTTGACTGTATGTAGGCACCTGGACGTGCCCAGTTGTCAGAGTAGTAACAATGGTAAAACGCCTGCAAAACACATTACCCAACAAATTAAAACAAAAATTAAAAACAATCCACTGGACTCTGTTTCCAACTTTGGTACTTTGGACTTTGGAAAAAAGGTCCAGTGGATTGTTTTAAGCTTTTTTTTTTGGAATGACTATGACCTGGATGACTGAGATTCTTCACCAGAAACACTCAACAAAGAAAGGGTGGATCCAGCTCTAGAAGGCCCCAGCAGCTTAGGACAGACAAATGCATCCCCTGGTGCAACAATGTGTTCTTGGGAAACCATGTTGACTAAATTTGTTAGTGAATTAAGGAGCTATAGCCCCCAGGCCAAAAAGGAACAGGTGAGGGCACAGAGGTCCTCTGATCCACCCACTCAAGGCCCATGAAGCAGTCCCATTGACAACCCAGGGCCTACACCAACCCTCATCAGTAAGACCACCTACTACCAACCAGCAAAGACCTCCCAGAACAGTTTCACCAAAGTCTCCCAGTCTGTGTCACAGCACTTCGCTGCTCCCCCTCCCCTCCTCTCTCGTCACCGTCTTGTATCATCACTTGGCTCAGACAAACAACCAATATTTGTTGTGGTGAGCTAATTTTGTTTGATCATCTTAAGATTTTTGTTTTACACATTACACATTGCATTAACACCTTGATTGGTTAATGTTCCATTGATCATTTGTAATAGTAAAGTAAAAATAATAAAAATAAAAAGGTCAATAGTTTCATGATACATCAAGCTTAAATATAAAAAACAGGTATCGACATTGGCAACACTGACTCTGTATTTACTTGGATACCCGGTATTACACAGCACACATGCATACGTGGTGAATTGGTCCAAGGAGGGTAAGGCTCAGTTCTAGCCTGAGCAGGCAGATATACTAACATTGGGTATAAATCAGTTGGAAAGCAGGCCCATAATGCAACAGTCAATGGTAAACTGTAAATGGCATATACTTATATAGCACCTTTATTCAAGTCAGGAGACTTGACCAAAATGCTTTACACTACATTCATTCACCCATTCATGCACACACTCACACACTGATGGTGGCAAGCTACATTGTAGCCACAGCTGCCCCCGGGCTCACTGACAGAAGCGGGGCTGCCGTACACTGGCGCCACCGGGCCCTCTGACCACCATCAGTAGACAATGCAGGTGAAGTGTCTACCCAAGTCACTGAAAGTCGGAGTCAGGGCTTGAACCGTCAATCCTTCCATTTCAGGGCAACTCCTACATCCAACGCCACCGTCGCCACCATCAAGACTGCAGCTCCAAGGGAACAATGTTTTTTGATATCCTTTTCTAAATGTTTCTCCCCAAATGTTTATATCATCAAAATTTCAACAACTGGTTGCTGTAAGAAGTTTTCTTTCTACAATAATTTGTTTCACAGATGTAGTTATCTGATTAGGTCTAAACTGTTTCCACCGACTCTGTTAGTCCTGCTTTTGAAATCAAGTTTTATTAGCTCTTTTCCAGACTCATTTAAGCCATACTTAAATAAGTCACTCTAACCAGGCTAGCTCAACCCCCTGAGAGGTTAATAGGTAGGGATGCCCAAGGTAGCCCCTACAGCCAAGGGCTAGGACCAACACATCCTATTGGCAACCTGATTAAAGCCCAACACTGTAGGATGTGGTCCTTGCTCGGAAAAAAACAAGACCTCACTCATGAAGCTGTAGGTGACCCTCGTGCCATCCCTACACCTCCATTCCAGTCAAACAAGAACTGGAACCACAAGCAAAGGAGGACCATATTATGACCTTCCAACCCAGCCCGCATCTAAACCAGCGCAGCACCAATCGAGGTCAGGGATCCAAGAGATCATCAGAGGCCCCAATGCACCCTGGCCTGTCACTGCCACAGTTCTAAATAAAAATAGTTTAAGACTGATCTACATACTGATCTACTGATATACATCTAGTGACTAATATGCATTGAGTAGGAATTATGACAAAATATTTTGATCTCAATAGTTTGGCAAAAGCGAGCAACTAATCAAACCATTCATACTTTTTCCAAGAAAAAGGAAGAAAAAGCACCCTAACTGTAAATGTAATAAAGGCTGAAAAGGCTATCTATTCCCCCCTTTTTAAAAACATTTGTTATATAACCACCATTTCTAAGTCATTACCACACAATACAATATGGGTCTTTCAACGCAGGTCTCAGTTGTTTCAATCAGTTCTTCACAGAGATCTCAACACAAAAGTTAAACAGATAAGATAGAAATTTGTTTTTATAACTAAAAAAGTCAGGCTGATCAGGTGATGTGTGATCAGAGACTGTTTACCCCTTTTTTAATCACAGGAAACATGAAGAAAACAGAAGCCCTAATTGAAGAAATGTTTGAAAACTTCTTTGAAAATGCGTTAGTAGATAATTTAATTTAATCTGTGTAGACTACCTAGAGAAAAACAGCAAAGATGGATGAACTTGATGAAACAAAACTAGCAAAAAAAATACTGAAAACAAATGAAAACTGAGATGTTATTGAAAATCAGAAGTTCAAATGAAAAAAAAAACAATGAAAATGTCAAAACTAATTAAATCTTTCAGAGAAGGCTGTCCACCACACATCGATAAAAGTTCCTCAAGACTGAGCTCCTGAGTCCAGCGTTCCAAAGTTTCCTGGGGAAGTATTGTAGATATGCTGATGGAAGTGTTGGCCCACCAGGTGAGGTCAGTGGGTAAACACAGTCAGGTGCCTGTAGCTGGAGACCACCTCCACAGCTGCTCCTCTGAGGTAGGGGATGAAGAGGATTCTTGTCCTGTCTGAAATCCGCCTCCATCTCCTTAGTTTTCTTCACATTTATGCAGTTTATTGTTCTACAACACTGCACCAGCTATCCAACCTCTTCTCTTTATGTGGACTCATCATTGTTTGTGCATCACACTACTGCTCAGTCATCTTTAAACTTCATGATATTAGAGCTGAGCTGTCTTGCCTTGCTTTCATATATCAGCAGAGTAAACAGGAGGGGGCTCAGCATACATCCCTGGGACGAGCATGTGCTGAAGCTGATGGAGAAGGAGAAGTTGTGGATTCTGACAGTACATATAAATTGGTTCATACTGTATAAAGCAAACTTTATTCCATCATCTGAAAATTGAATAAAGATAACACAATAGCAAATCTTCAAAGAAACTGCCATCAACCAAAAGTCACAGAACATCAAAGCTCTACAAAAACACTCGCCACAAAAGGTCAATGTAAAAAAGAAGCAATCACAAGAGACATGATAACTCATGAGAAGCTGCAGAGATTCACAGAAGAATCTGTCAACAGGACTATAATGAATTATTCTGGCTTTTATAGAAAACTTTTAAGAAGATTAACATTATTAAAGAAAATAAAAAAGATATGGACTATTAAGTTTGCCACATTGGACTATGAATTTGTATTCAAATTAGTTTCTAATCAAGATTTGAGATTCTTGAGATTGTTTTTCTCCTATTCATTTCATAGTCCTCACTGATTTAGCTATAATTATTCAATGAAATGATCTAGGAATCATATCCCAGTGTTTTAACATTCCGTTTTCTGTGAAATTGTCTTTGTTTCTTCTGCAGACCCGTGATTCCAGAGTCTCCTGAGATTCTCCTTCCTTTTTCCTTGTTTATGTGTATTCTGGGATTTCATTGAATTTGTTTTATTAAATCTATTTGGGTGTTACATAAAACCTGAATAAAAGAAAAAAGGGGGGTACCTGCCACTCTCAAAGCATGGTATAAACAATCTATAAGGGTTTCTGATTATGTTACCAGACAGAATATTTAATCCTACAAAGAATGGGTTGATTATAGCCTCAGCATAACAGGGCATTTATAAAGTTCATAACTGCATGCCTATAAGTTTTTAATTTTAATTTGCCAGGATGTCTGTTGATAAAACTTTTTTCAACTTTAGAAATCTAGCTCTGTCATGGTTTTCTATCAAAAATAATTAAAATGAGTGTTCCAATAAGAGAATATCCAATCCATTAAGTTATCTTGTTTTTGATTTAATTTTTTTATTGCCAAACAGAATTTAAAAAGTCACCTCCAGGCCAAACATGGAGCAGAAACATTTCATCTATGTTTGGTTAAAACAGGCTTTCATTGTTTCTGCTATGTAAACACTGAGCCCAGCTGCACTCTGTTAATCCACCACTCCTGAGTTTCCTGAGCATGCAGGACACACCCTCAAATGTATACGCTCGCACTGAATCACACAGATGCGAGTAAGGTCAGCCTGGCTATTTTTGGATAAAGCGGCTAATCACTGTGTTGCAGCCCGCCTATAAAGCCTGGACGCATTCTCCAGACCACTCATACTACGCTCAAGGATCACACAGCACTTATTTCACTGCTGTATTTCAAGGAGCACAAACAGAAACACTGAAGGTGAGGAGATTTCTTCCTTTTCTCTCTTTACTTTGTGAGAAACTATTAAAATGTTACAATTTAATCATTGGAAAAACAGAACTAAAGGTTTTTCCCTGAAAAATATTTTAGCTAAGAACTAAGAAAAAGAATAAAAATGATCATAATTCTTTTGGTTAGTGAAAACCCTTAAACTAACATTTGTATTTTTCCTCTTATTTCTACAGAATGAAAAACAGGAGGTTGCTGTTGTCTCTTCCTCCATTACCCACAATTACAGAGACACTGGAGGAGCTACCTGTCCATCCCACCTCCTTGAAACCATCTCAGAGCTCCCACTCTTTTGAGGACTACATGTCCAGCATCCAGGCACTAGCGCGACCTGTAGAAGGCCCGAGTTACGGCCCCGTCAGACTCCAGAGGTCACCCAGGCAGCGTCAGCTCTCAAAAGCTGCACGTGTGTCTTCACGCACACCGAGGACTTCTAGAGCCTCCAGTCTGTGCACACACAGCACAGAGGAGTTTTCGCTAAAGATGAGCAGAGAACAAGACTGCCGGGGCAAAGACCCCATGGACTGGCTCTTTGGACAAATAAGGACTTGAAGAGAGACATTTTTGTTGTTGGACATAATGTGGGTACTTTGATGGAGTGAAGAAATAAATTCTGAAGGGACCTCAGGAATAACTGCTCCACCATGGCTCATAATAATAGTGCAAATTCAACCTATTTATTTCTATTTACTAAAGACTCTATGAGACCTATATGTTTACCTTTAATATTTTATGAAGTCTTAAGCTGTTGTTTCTAATAAAATCCTAATATATCAAAAATAAATTGTTTATGTTTTAATTGTTTTTTTCCTTAATGATTATGTTTCTTGTTGTTGTCATGCCCCAAAAGCATTTTTAAAGGTTTAATGAACAAAGGGACGTCTAAAAACCTATGTTAACTAGAATCTTTAAAACTTCAGGTAAAAAAATATCAGGTGAAAATTGTTTCCTAACAATTATTTCATTAACTTATTTTATTTAAATTTTATAAGAGAGCAGATTCAAGAGTAATTTTCTGTTTTTTTTTTTTTACATTTGAAGTCATGGAGTAAACTGGACCATAAGTTTGTAAATTGCGATTTAATGTAAATTAAAAACATTTTTCTATTCTAAAATACATTATAAACATATTACTGATAAAATATCTGAAAACGTATATGTTTCCATCAAAGTTTCCAATTGAATTTTTTTTATGATTTTATTTTTCTACGAAAAAAGCACTTGTTTTAATGTATGTATAACATAACTAACATTGAACAGAACTTATTGGACATTTTTATCTAAGTTTATGAGTAAAATCCTTTATCAACATATATAATTAACATTTGGTCAAATTTAACATACAATACAAATTATATGAACCAAAAGTATCAAAGCACACAGTGAAATACTCCTGGGGCTATTAGGTTTCTTTCATAACCAAATCTTTCACCGAATAAATAAATAAATAAATAAATAACAAATATGATTAATGCTCAACTCTGCTGTGTACTATAAAAAACAATCCAAACGAGCTAAACTTGTAGTAATAACTACTGTCATCTAGTGGTCCTGTTAAAACTTGAATCTAGACATACTACATATAGCCACAAGGGGGAGCTGCAGAGTTATTGGCAGCTTAATTACCTCTGCCAAGGAGCTTATGTTTTAAGAGTTTGTGTGTTTGTCTGTCAGAGGTGTCCCTCGTGCCAAGGAATAATACATTTCAGTGTGATTAAGATCCAGATCATGTGTGAGTTTTAGCTTTAGGTTTAAGTCCCAATTTGGGGCAAAATGTACTGCTTGGTAGATTTCTGTGCTAGGCCAAGTCACGTCTGTGTTTCACCACGTTATGTGTCATAGCAAGTTATCTTCATTCAATAGAGAAAGAGGTTGTAAATATTGATGGAAGAAAAGATAGGAACGCAGTGTTCTACACCTGTTATAAAAATGCAAGACATACACACTGCTTTATGTCAGCTAAAATGTTTTAGATTAATGTGGTACCCTCCAGTTTTCTTTTTTAGAGCTCCTGCATGTCATTTGGAATGACTATGACCTGGATGACTTTTATGATAAAAATACATTTTAATCAGGGACGAATTCAGTGGTAAGTTTATCTTTAAGCAGGAAAAAAATGTAATCAAAATTAACAGCAGTTTTCTTAAAGAAATTTCACTGAAGAATTCATCTGTGATGAAGCCTGGCTGTGTTAGTTTTAATACTTATAAATCAACTGGGGCCTTCAGCGCTCAGAAACATTTTCAGTATTACAGCTAATAATGAGCAGTCCTGCATGTAAGAGCTTGCTCCCTTCTCAAAGAGGTTTGGTTCATTTGCTTTAAATCACTGTTGCAAAGTCAGGCCTCCTAACACGCCCGCTCCTAAATGACTAGCCCACATCACCTGACCTGATTATAATCTAATCAATCTTGTTAACTTTCAATTCCTCCAATGTCAACCTGTTTCTTCTTGCCATGCACCACCTGCTTACACAGAGCACTCTGTTTAGGAATGAGAGACGATCTTACACGTGTGTTACATCCAAAACAATCCAAATGGTCTCCATGTTTACTAGAACTTTACAAAAGGACTTTCCAAACTTTGGCTTTTGGGCAGGCATGCATAACCAAAGAATGTTACTGCTGAGCAATGGTTTAACCCTTATATCCACAAAATATCCAATGACTAAGTCCTTACTTCCTCTGGATCAGCTGAATCTGGAGCAGATATTCCCCAGATATAAGTGGAGAATCTGGAAAATAAATCTGGTTTAGATACCAACACAGTGCAGTATTTTATGGTTGAAATTATGCTTCTTTAACCAAAGCATACAAACCTCAATAACCCATGAAACCTGATGAAATTCAGGTCCTCCAAGTCTGATTTCATTGCTCTCAAATGGAAAAGGGTGATTTGCCTGCTCCAAACAGGAGTTCCTGCCTATAGTGGCGGGATATAATAACCTCCAGGTTTTGTTCATGAGAGGGGTGAGTAGAGCGTAGATTTAACCACCAGAATCAACAAAAAAAAAAAAAACGAAGCCATTGGGTAATGCTCTTAATTTACAGATCTGTTTACCACTGGAGGTTTCTTCCTGTTAAAAGGGAGTTCCCCCCCCCCCCACTATCACTACAAGCATGCTTAGTGTGAGGGATTACATTCGAGTCAATGAGTTGATGCAATCAATTGGTTTTCCTTAGATAGAAAACTGTGAATCAATTTGACTGTATGATCTGGTGAACTGTAAAGTGCCTTGAGATGACATGTGTTGTGAATCGGCACTATAGAAATAAACTGAATTGAATTTACGTTCCGACACTCACATATGGTCATGAAATCTGGATACAAGAAATGGGCATCCAGTGCATGGTGGCAAGGCACTTCTTTAGGTATAGGGGTAGGAGCTCAGCCATTCAGAAGCCTGCTACTCCTCATCATTAAGAGGAGAATTGAGGAATTCACAATATTAAAGCCAGGAAGACATCTTTAACGTCTCAGCAGAGCCAGAGTGACCACCTCATAATGCATCACAGTAATCCACAAATCATGCAAAAGGCGAACGACCGAGTTTAAATACATTACAATACAAATAATCTTTATCAGTCTTGTTATTCATATTTTTTGGGTTTCACATAGCTTTAGACCTTAATATTCCTTTTTATTACAATAAAACCATTAATTCAGTTATGTGAAGCTGCACAGCTCAATTTATGCGGCTTCTTTAAATCATGTGATAAATCAGTCTTATGGACAATAAAAAACAATTTAGCAGCAAACTTATATTGAATCTTTTTTGCAAAGAAAGATGACATTAAAATAAAAAATGAAACAGAATTTTATCACCAAAAGTAAAACAGTAAATCTTATTAGACCACTTTAAAAGATTAGAGGAAGATATATGGCTCCTAAAAAGCAATATAAACACAAAACAAGATGGTGTAAAATTAGTCCTTTTTAAAGGTTATATGGAATGCTTCTATCCTGACTTGAATGGTAGTCACATTTGGGTAAGGCGTCTTTATATTTAGAGCTTCTCTATATATTAGAAGTGTAAAAAACCAAACAGGACAAAAGTAAATATCAGGACAACAACTTTTGGAAGGGTCCAATTTCTGCCTCTAACGGGACTCTAACGAGTCTGATAAACCATTGTCCAGCTCTAGTTGGGTTGAATAACTTGATTAACAGCCACTACCACTGCATGAAAAGTGAGATTTTCGTCCCCGTAAACCCCCGTAAACTCCCGCAGATCTGCCTGATTTTCGTCAGTTTCCGACAATTTGCAACCTGTGCTTGTCCGCGTTTGTCGTGCCACAAATTGTCGGAAACGTACCGTGACGTATGTGGAGAGCGATCAGCTGTACTAATGGCCCTAATTAGCATATGAATGCAGCAAACCCGCGCGGCTGGCCAGGTCTGGCTTGAATAACCTACTCAGTATTGGCTGAAACCACTATTCTCAAACAAATGAAATCGCTCGTGATTGGCAGCAAAACCACACGTGGCCACGCCAGGCTTTAATTTTCTTACTGAGTATTGGACGGAACCACTTCTTTTTAAACAAGTAAAGTCGCTCGTGATTGGTTGGCATATATATATATTTACATATATATATTTATTCATATATATATATATATATATATATTTATTTATTCATTCATATATTTATTCATTCATATATTTATTCATTCATATGGTGTGTATTTATGTTATCCTACACTACTACACAATTATTATGCTACCATCAAGGACATGAATGAATTTATACAGGAAATGAACATTTGCCAGGAAGCTGTTTATGCAAAGAAAGAGCTTTATTAAAACACACACAACTATATACAACGCTTACCCAAACACATGCGTTTCTAAAAATTAAAAGTCCGTGAACGGTCCGTTTGCTTCCTCGGGGTTGGAGGTAACGGGCAGCATTCCCTCCGAGGCAGGTCCGATGTGCAGACGCCTACTGTGCGTGGCTCTGTACTTCGGCATCGCTTCTAACCGGGACTGCAGCTTAACACAGAGTTCAGAGGGATCCGGCCTACGAAATGGTGGCGACCGTACAATCCATCCAGAGACACCGCTGACGACGGCGGACTTCCAGAGTTCCACTTCCTCATCTGCTAGCACACTCTGCCTCGCTTTCAGCAGCTGAAAAAAAAAACAATGAATCAGCGCACTGCGTATGGACACAACACATCTATTAATGCACCTGAAAAATAGTCACCAAATAAAGTCTTACCCTCTTTCTTCTGGCCCGACTCCGAGCAGATTGCCTCCGCGCGCAGCGTGTTGGCTGGCAGCGTATATCTGAAGCTCCTGCGTACCGTCTGAAAATACGTCTTACAGGCAGCTGGAAAACAATTAAATGAGAGCGGTATAAATAAAAAATCAAACGCAAGTCACAGTAACAAGGAAGGAGAAAACATTAAAACAAGTCACTTACACACAATGTCGTCTTTATCATCATCGTGCAAATCTGGACTTGCTGATTATGGCTCCGAGCAAAAAGGAGGTCTGTGAAAACAAAATGTAAAGCTATGATCGGTATCCATGACCTTTTACCGCAGAATGAAAGCATATTCTTTAAATCTTACCCTTGCTCCGGTTCATAGCGCCTGCAATTAGTCTCCGAGTTGTTAAGACGGCGTACTGCTTCCTGTAAATCACAAAAAATGCACTTTAATAAAGCTTGTTCTTGCAAGGCTAGGCTAGATAGGCTAATAGCTAGGCTGCTATTAGCCATAGCTCAGGCTAGGCCGCTTTTAGCTTAGCAGGCAGTAATCGAACATATATTTACC